AACAAAAAACCACACACAACATGGCCAGGCACACCCTATTCCAAGGAAAACCAGAAACCCAGCACCTTAAAAACCAGCATCGCCATCTAGAAAAAAACCAGACCACCACAGGGTGGGATGGCAAAGCCGCCCTCCCAGCCCCAGGAGCTGCCTCCTTACGCTCCAGCTGTGTTTGCCTGCGTGCCGCATTCCTCCCTCGCCACCCGAGTCCAGGTTTTGTTTTTTTGGGTTGCGCTGAGAACCAGCTGCTCCATCTCACACACGCCAGAGACGACCGGCACGTCTGGAAAGCCAACGCGCTGTGGCCTGGCGATGCAACAGCTTCCCGAGAAGTTCACACGCCTTCAGCCGAAGCTGGAAACGCGAGCGTGTGGCCCCACACTACCATCAAGTGACAGGTACAGAAATTCTTGATAATGCAACAGCCATGTTAGCACCTAGCGCATCCCGCAGGCTGGAAAAAACAAGCGGCAAAGCCTGCCAGCACCAGTGGGCTTTTGCTTTTATTGGAGATGACATTCAAGCTGATGCCACACGCTTGTAGCAAGAGTTCAGAAGCTCACGCTAACTCTCAGCCCCCTTCAGATCCCACCCCATCAGGGTGGTCACAACCCCTGAATACCTCTTCAAGTCCAGCATTCAGATCTTTTCTAAGTAATTTTAGTAAAATCACACCCTCGGTTGCAGGGTTTCTACCCCAGCAGCACCTAAAGCATAGCAGGGTACCTATTCTGCACCTGCCAATGGGAACAAAAATATATTGCACTTCCCACACAAAAAAAACCCCACCATGCAGCAAGGAACCTGCTCTCGCTAGCGATGTGTTGGTAAATTAGGGCAAGCTATGCTTCCCCTCCCTCCGCCCCCCACGAGCATTTAAGGGTTCCTGTTGCCTGCGTGCAGCATACGGATCAGTTACATTTATGAAGAACATTGCAATCTGTCAATATAAACACTATGTAAGCATGAGCCACTTGTAACATTACTACTGTCTTGACAAGTGTTTGCAAAGGGAGCAGAGCTGCTCGGCTGCATCTCCCATACACCAACCCTTCTTCCAGCAAGAAAAAAAAAGAAAGGGTACATGAAAACTGAATCAGACTATAAATGAGAACACCCAGAAAGAAATAGAGGAGTTTTGCTTTATGGCCTGGACAGGTCGCAACCTCAGACACACAGACCAGGCAGCTCAGGAAAGCAGCAAGCTCCTGCGGGGCTGGTTTGCCTTCCCACTAGCACCAGGGCACAGCAGGACTGAAGTTAATCAGCCTGCCTGTCACCCCAGCATGGCTAATCTTGTCATCTGCCACTTCCAAAGCCCAGTAGTGCAAGACCCAACACAATTCCCAGATGCTGCTATGGCATTTCCACCACCCCCCCCAGCCACAGTTGAGAGAGGAAAGGGAGGGAGGGGGAGGTACCCACACCCAAAGCATGTCAGGCACAAGAAAAGCAGAGCAGGGAGGAAAAGTGAAATGCAATGCTTTCTCAGGGACCCCGGCAGTCTGGGGCTGCTCCAAACTACCCCATCAGCCAGTTGCAATATGGTGCAAATTAGTTTTCAGACAGCCCAGCTGCAGAGGAGATGGCTGAACATAAAAGCAGGCTCACTTTTAGAACAGCCAGTGCATCTCAGCAAGCCAGTCTCAGCTGATGCTTATCTCAAGGCAATGCTTCCCCCTCTGGTATAGACTCAGCCAGTAACAGTCTCCCATACGGATTCCTACCCTAAAATGCACCCATCATCATCAGGCATCCTGATGGGCAACTCTAAACCCACCACAAGCCATCAGGTCCTGCTCACTTTTGGAGGCATGCTTTCTCCTCTCTAGCATCACAAAGTCTGCTATCGGAACAAGGCTTAGGAGCTGTAGCATCACCACATCCCTGAAGCCAGCCTCTTTCAGCTGCTTTCTGGGAATTATGGCTAGCAAACCCCTCCTGAGCAGGTGCCTATAGAGACTCAGCTCTGCTCACTGCTACGCACCACTTCGGGTCCACCTTTGCCCCATCTGCACCAACGCTTTATCTCCCATACACCAAGCTCTACTTCCAGAGGACATTTCTCATTTTGGGCTGCTTGTGCATCCCTCTGAGAACACCAGGGCCAGACATAGAGAGAAGCAGCGCTCTCCAGCCGTGGCCTTCCCACCCCAGCATCCCCTCCCGGTTCGCTAGCTGCCCCTGTGGGACAGACACAGACATAACTACATGCTGACACAATCTTGTTATCATGTAACCATGCCCGATTTCTGTCCCTGTGCACTAATTCCCCGCCAGGCCACACATTTGGAGACACTGAATTCTTTCCCTGAAATAAGACATTGGGGATGGGAAGGGGGGGGGGGAGAAGGGATCATCCACAGCTGTCCCTATCCCCCACCAGACTGCGGAACAGAGCAGCTAAGCTGCAGCTCCAGCGTGACATCTGTTTAACACGGCCGCCTGCCACGCTCTGCGCCCCGCCACCTCCTCCGACAGGGATCTGCGTACCCAGAGCGGAGGGTCCGGCAGGCCACCTAAAGGGTGTCATGGTAGCTTTGATGATGCCTTGGACTGGGAAAGAACGTCCCCTCCCCTGCCCAGAAAGGGTTTTGCATTAACTAAGCCTACTTCAGCATTTCAGCTCAGCTCCTGAGCAAAGGGTGATGCACCCAGGTCTTTAGGAAAGGTTTATTTTAAGATAAAACAGATGTCCTTCCTCACCTGGAGCCGTTCCTCCATGCATGTGGCTACCTCTCTAGGCACACCAAGAAGGGCTAATACTAGCCCTCACAGGGCACTCGCAGGGGCACCAAGAGTTCTGCAGGAACGTACGGCTTTTACCAGGTAAGATTTACTTTCCTTATCAATATACAGAAGCTCGCAGCAAGGAGGGCTCCGCTTTTCCACACACACTTGTTAGATCACATATCACTGGGGATTAGCGGGGACCCTGGACCTCAGCAGCGACTATTCCCCCGTGTCCCCAGCAGCTCAGCAAGTGCAATCTCTGCTTTAGGCCTCTCGGAAGAACAAAGAGGAGATTAGCAGCAGATGCTGCTCCTTCGCTGGGGCTCTAACCAGAGAGCAGGATGCTTTGCATAAGCAAACTTCACCACGCATCGCAGCAGCCCCGGAGCACTTGGAGTGCACATCTGGCTGGGTGCACATCTGGCAGCATCTCCTCTCCCCCGCCCCTTTATTGCCAGAGAGGGAGCCTCAAATCAGAAACAGCAGCTGTACGGAGACAGAGAGAATAACCCAAAGCGGTCAGGACAGACCTAGCAGCACACTTCCCTTGGCTCAATGCGTTCGCTCTTAAGTTAAAATCTACACCAGCCACACGAGGCCAGAAAAGAAATCCCAGAAGCAAGCGACTGGAATGAGTTACCTGCTGCACTACAGCAGATTCCCGTACCGCGTGGATTAACAGGAGAGTTACAGCCAAGCTCCTTACAAGCCCTGTCAGTCCCTGAGGCACAGTACAACTGCACAGTGCCGGTGGTCTTCGGCAGACACACGAGCTAACGGGCTCGGTATGGCCCTCCGTGTGCTGCCGAGGGAGAAAAGGGCTTTTCCTAAAAACCTGCAAACACAGGACAGGCTGTTTCCTCAGAAAACCAGCCCCAGCAGCAGGAAGTTAAATGGTTCTCGAGTTGGAAACAGAAGATGTAAGTAGCACTGTTTGGAAAACTTTGCCAGACCACAGGCAATGGACAAGCCTCAACACCAGGATTTGTTTTACTGGAAAGAGGGGGAAAAACCTCAAGTCTGCTAAAACATTCTCCAGGGCCGGTCCAGTGGCTCCTACCAGCGGTCACAACACAACATCCCAAAAAGCAGCAAGAACCATCAGCCTGGAGTAAACTTGCACCGATACCCCTTAATCAGGTGCTCGCACCCCACTCCCCTCACAAACCGACCCCTTTCTGGGACTAAGCCTTTAAAAAAAAAATGATAAAAAAAGACAAGAGGCAGCTACATGAACACCCCAAAAAAGCAAAACAGGGGGGCGCACAGATGGAAAGCCAGCAGGGACCAATCGCTACGGCCTGAAATTTCACGATACGGCTGTGGGGGGGTTGAAAAAAGGGGGTGAGCGGATTTTATTTGGCTTCTCCATATCAGCCCCCCCCCCCGGAGGAAAGGGGATGGGGGTCGGGGGGCGCAGCGGGATCCACCTGCGCGGCGCGGCCCGAGCTTTTGGCGCCCCCTGCCGGCCGCGCCGCTGCACCGCGCACAGGTGAGCGCGGCGGGATGCGGCGGGGACCGCGCTCCGCACCCAGCCCGGGGGGAACCCGCCCCTCCTTCGGGAATAAAAATTTGGCACCGTCGCAGGCTGGGGACGGCAGCATGCACGCCCACTCCCCCCCAAAAAAACAAAAAAAAACAAAAAAAAAACAAAAAACAACGCCGCCGGGGTGATGGTGGGACGCGCTTGCCAGCACCTGGTGCTGAAGCACGCACTTAAATTGGGGGGAAAAAAAAAAAGGGAGGTTTTTTCGGCGCTGTCCCATGCTGGTGGAGGTTACAGCACGCACCTGGGAGCCGAGCTCCTCGGTCACCCCGCCACGGGTCCACCGTCGCCCACCCCGTCGGGGAAAGGGCAGAACGAAACGCTCCCTCGCCCTCAACGGGGTTTCTGCCCGCGGTCCCCCGGGAACGCCCGGCAGCCCCCGGCAGGCTGCAACCTGCAGCTCCCGCAGAGCCCGGCCGTGGCAGGCGGCACGCCGGAGGGATTCGGGAGAGCCGGCTCCGAGCGGCGGGCCGGGGAAAGAAGCGGGGACGGGGTTGTCGCTGCCCGGGGCGGCTGTCAGCGCCGGCGGGAGGGGATGCAAGAAGGCAAGGAGCCCGCCGGCAGGGCGCCCAGCAGCATCCCCACCTCGGGCGGGACGGGTAAACGTAGAAAACCCCTTTTGCAACTCAAAAAAAAAAAAAGAAAAAAAACCCCCACCCGAGCTAAAGCAAAAGTTGGAAAAAAAGGAGGAGCGGGGGTGCGGGGGCGGCCGGGCACCTACCCGAAGTAGGCGGCGGAGGGCCGCGGGGCGCAGGCGAGCAGCCCTAGGAGAGCGCAGGAGGAGAGCCATCCCAGCAGGACGTGTCCATCCAGCATCTTGCAGCGGCGCCGGCGCTGCTCATCTCG